AGTGATTAGGTGGTCACCACTTTAATTTGACCATTATTGTTGGTGATGTGTTACTAGATTGTGTAAACCTTCTATCCAACATCTTAATTCACTATACACTAGATTAGACAATTGTAGGACATTTTTGTATGCATTAAAATTGCATTGTGGGAATTTTCTCAATCTCTAATAATAAGTGCCTATTTACGCCAATTTTTTTGGCTAAGAATGAATTTTTGAATAGTAGATTAACGAAGAATGTGTGGTTAAAAAATAAGAAAAATTTTTGAATTTGCATGTAATATTATTTTATTGAAAATTGTGTGGTTGAAAAAAAAATAAAGAAAAATATATTTTGAAAATAATAGAAATCAAACAAGAGCTAAGTGTATGTAGACTTTACCAAGCTCTTATACTTGTCAAATATGGGAGAGCCTTTTCATGACTTTGAAATCAAGGGCCTCGCTCACTCTCTGTCTTTAGACACGATGAAGTTACAAACTTAGAACGTCTACAATCTCTTATTTATGAGCACGACTTTTTGATCTTTGATCATTTCATGATGCCAAACTTATATAATCTTAAACTACACCATCATTCCCAAACACCACATTTTCTCCAATGAAAAAAAGGTTCACATGTTGCCCCCAGAACAGATCTCCAAGTGGTAAAAGGGGAAGGTGGAAAAACTCCAACTTTGTTTGAGACTGTCGTGTCAAGGGTTCGAATCCTGAAATATAGATTTGACCATTGGGTAAGTGCAAGTGTACAAGCAGCCTTTCACTCTGTACCCTTAGAGGCATAACCTACAATTTACCTCTTTCACCAAAGTCCAGGATAGGGCAGGTGGGTGCTGTCAATGATGCGACTCATCTTTTTTAGAAAAAGGTTCACATGTTTGTAACACTAGAAAAATCTAGACTATTGATTGACATGGTTTTGAATTTTTGGCACCTAAGCATTAAGTAGTGGTCCAAATTTTTAGAACCCCAAGAGAACACAAACAATATGTGTCAAAAAGTAGATACAATTATTAGAAACTTCCATATGTGTTTTCACTTTCAATGTTTGAAATCTTTGAAGTAACATAAAGATTATTTGTATTTAAAATGGGAAATATTGCTCAGATCCATCCCACAACTTTCATGAAAAACAAATGATGATGGTAATCGTTGAAGTCTGTTCATCCTCTAAACTCATTGAGGTTGTACGCACTAGTCGAAAATTTGAAAATCCGTGATCGAACTACGGTTCCAACGAATGAGTGATGGAATGAAAATGTTCATGGCACTTGTCCTTATTTCCGTGTTCCAAAGTTACTTCTAATGGGGCCATGCCACCATATGGAAGATAGTTAAATACATTGTTCTAAAAAAGGGGAAAACGCGCCGCCTAGGCGCGACCAAAATGCGTCGAATTCGGGAAATACGGGAAAAATGCGTTTTCTAATTAAAAGGCGGGCCTAATACACGCCTAATGCGCGCCTAAGCGCACATAAGTCCGTCTAATCCCCTTTTTTTAAAAAAAAAATCTATTTTTTTTATATAAAAATATATTNCCCTTTTTCTTTTTTTTTTAAATCTGTTTTTTTTTATATATTAAAAAATTTTTTTTTTTTATATAAAAATATATTTAATGCCTTAAAAATACGAAACGCATTATGACGTTTATTCTTCGCATTGACACGCCTAAACTTGTGATTCTTGATTCTCGACCTCGACGCTTCGCAACGCATTACGCATTTTAGAACACTGGTTAAATAACACATTTTTACAGAGAATTCAATTAACCTAGTAACTTGAAATTGGAATACCAAGACAAAAATAAATTCCAAAAATGGTGGGGTCTCACTTGAAAAATTGGACCTCCTCCTCTTCGATTCCATGGACCTTATCTTACGTGGAAGCAAATGTAATTGCACACTCTACACCATTATTGAATTTATAAATATTTTAGTTTTTAATTCTTTTTTCTTTTACGGTTATAATTTCTATTAGGCACTCAACTTATAGCACTACTTCATTTTAGTCATTGAACTTTAAATTGAAAAACACGGCAGTCGCTTCTCTGTAGAAAACCAGTGGAAACAGTTGAAATAAATCTGCCAAAATCTGAAATTGAGGTTTTCGGCTAATCCAAAGGTCAGGTAGACAATGGAGGCCATTCCCTTATTCTAGACGACGAGGCAAACTCTGTAGATCAACGCGTGATGCGTGTACACCACCGACAGTGGCGAGTGCCCACGTGCAACAACTCCTCTCGGTGAGTGGAGAAGATTTCAGCGAAACAATCCTCAGGCATACTCTTTGTAGTTCGACAGACAGGTCGGTGGTGTCCATGTTTTGTCCTTGGACATTCAGATTTTCGAGTTTTGACTGATCATATTGTTGCAGTTGCTGAAGTTTTAGAGTAAAAAATGGTGGCCCCAAAGTTCTAAAATTCGCACCCCTTGGTCCGATCGGTAAATTGGCTCACTTTTTAATATTTTGTACTAGCAGGCCATCATGTGACTTACAAACAAGGAGTACAAATCCTTATACAATGTTGAGCTTTACGGAACATCAATACGACCCGTTATTAAGCTTTCACGGAACCTCAATATGATCCATACGGTGACTTACAACAAGGAGTGCCGATCCTTATACAATATTGATCTTTAAGAGATTTCAACGTGACCCACACTTTATCAAAGTGATTTTACAATGAAATACCTCTCTCGATAAGTAATACAAACAAGTTAATTATTAAGAGAAGCTGACACTTCAATGAATAGTAATAAATGATAGTTCAATTATGAGATGAAATTTTTTGATGAATATGCTAATAAAAAAATTAGATTCAATCAATCAAAGTGTTTCAATGAGAAGATGAAAAAGAAATAAATGTAATGTAGGTTCAAAAATCTTCTCAAAATATATATCTATTTTGATGAATAATTGTAATAAATCAAGTACTAAGAAAGAAATGAGAAACTTTGATAGATATGATGATTTTACAAGTTTGATCCAATCAATCAAAGTTTTCAATATGAAAAAATAAAATTTTTTATATAATGTAAGTGTAAAGATCTTCTTAAAAAATATATCTCTATTTTAAGATTGATATAAATAAGTTAAAACAAAAAAAAAAAAAAAATGAAAAACTTTGATAACAGAAATTATTTAAGAAATTTGATTTAACAATCAAAATTTTTGTTATGAAAAATTAAATGAAACGAATGTAAAAATGTAAGATCAAAAAATATTTTTTACAAATATATTTCACAAGAAAGCTCTCTTCTAGTTGTTTTATGAATGTAAAGCGAAGTGGTATTTATAGCAATCAAAACGTCAAAATTTTTGACCAACGGGACATCCGCCATTGAACCAGACAACTGAACTAGTCGTTGTACGTTAGAAATCAGAACAGTTAAAAATTTGACTGTTGGACGAATTAGACGTCCGTCTGGTCAATCGGACGTCCGCATTGACTTTCACTTCGACTTTTTTATTTTTTTGAAAAAATGTGGGCTTTTGAAAAACGTTTTCAATTTACTATAAGTAACATTGTAAAAATTTAAATATCAAATTAAAATACTTACCTTTTTGAAAAATAAATTTTTATGCAAGTATTTTTTATGAAATAATCTTTTCGTGCATAAAACGATTTTTGAGCTTTCATCATTCATTGCTAAATATCGAAGTATTAGTGCCTTTACATTTGAATTAAGAAATATAGTTTTTTATCTTACTTTGAAATTTGCCTCTAAGACTTCTCATCTTGATATTTCTTTCATGTCTTTTCTCATTCTCTTGATCTTACTTTTTTTTTTTTTTTTTTGTGAGTTAGTCACTATTTTCTTTTCTTTCAACTTTAGATAATAAGAATCGCACTCTAATGGACTTGATTAAATTTATCTTAATTTATAAAAATCAACTAACTGTTGACTTGACTAAGATCATCTCCAATACATCCTATATCTTGCAGACTTGCTGTCTACTTGATAGTCGAATTAAGACTTGCAATCTGTGTACCATTGATGTGATATGTCAAGTCTCAAATTTGTCTCAATGTGTTCTATATACAACCTAGTACTACTACATACATACCTTGTATCTACAATAAAAAAAAACGTAGAGAGAAAATCAAATGCTCTACCTATTGAATAGATAGTTTCTACCTTCTACTCTATACATCAGTTAACAAAGTCCTTGTCAATATGTATTGAATAAGGATAGTGTCGATAGAGTAATGTTACTTGTACATAATTGTGTACCGATTAATTTACAGATTGATAATGCGGATAAAATTAACTAATTTCATTTTATTTACTTTTATTTCTTTATTCCACGTCATCAATTTATAAATCAATATGCACACAATTATGTATAAGGATTAAGGAGGGTTACACAATTTCTATATTAACTTGAACAAAATGTCACATGCATAGATGCTAAGCAAGTCGTAAGTTGCTCACGTGTATGCCTCGTCATTCCTTCTCTTTTCATCACAATAATAACTGCCCATCTGTATCTCTCACTCGCAAACTTTTCCTTTTCCATGAAAAACAGTTGCAGATCCTCTCTCTCTCTCTCTCTCTCATCTGCATTACCTTTTCAGCTAAACTTAAAGATGAAGCTGTGACAGTTGCCTGATTTGCTTCTCTTTCACATGTTTCCCTTTTCTTTTCCCTCTATGCAAGTTTGAATGGAACAAAGCCAAACTTTAAGACGGCTCTAATTTGCATGCCATCATTTCATACTTTAAAGAGCTGTATCTATTTATAAGGGTGCGCTCGAAAACTTGCACATTTTTAGCCCACTTCTCTTTTTGACCCATTTTAGAACAATCTTTCACATTTAATTTTTCCATCACAAAAAAGTTAGCTGATCGAAGGGATATTAGAGCCAATTTTAAGGGTTTAGATTTCTAAATATTTTTGTGTTTTTTGATTGGAGTGATTCTTGGGATTGGTTTAAATTTTCTTTTTTGAGAAATACCATAAATAGAGTGCACTGAAATTTAGGCAGTGTGTGTGGAAAATGCCAAGGCAAAATTTGAATGTGGATGGAAAGATAGGCGGAAGGCAATGTAAAGTGAGAAAGAGAGGGAATTCTTCATCATCTTCATCGTCATTAGTGAAGAATTATCGTTTAAAACGCGCAATTTTGGTGGGTAAAAGGGGAGGGTCGAGCACACCAGTGCCAATGTGGAAAATGATGAATTCAACATCCCCATCACTCAAAAATGACCATTCATTCAAGAATTTGGAACCAAAAGGTGGTGAAAAGAACAAAGATTTCTCGGTTTCGGCTCGAAAATTGGCTGCCACTTTGTGGGAGATTGATGGGTTTCCTTCAACCAGAGTGAAAAGGGAAAATTTGGAGGACAAAATAAGTGGAGTAGAAAACTTTAGAAAAGAAAGAATTTTGAATTCACCCATACTGGATCCATTTCATAGTCCTATTTCTGAGGTGGGATTGTGTTTGCTTTGACAGATTTGGCTTTTCAACTCATTTTTGTAGTAGATTCAATTCAAGTCTGCATATTTTATTGAATGTTTTTCATTTTTTTGTGATTTTTTGTATTGCAAATTTGCAGAGAATGTATCCATCTGAAGTGGGCTATCATCGAAGAAGAGCATCAGCTGGTTCTCAAAAGCTTCTGCAGGCTGATTGTAATTTAGTAGGCAATACTTCTCTCCATACTTGCGTAATAGAGGTATGGCAAAAGGCTCATTTCCTTAATAATTATCACACGATTCACACGTTTGCTATTTTTTAGCAAATTATACAAGTTAGATTAGTGAAGATGCAAACATTCTTAGCATTTGAATTACGCTGTTTATCTATGTGGTTTTTTCTTGTATTATTAAGTTAATTCTAGCAGATTAATTACAATTAAAGTACTTTAAGTCCTCTCTAAATTCATGCTCTTTCAGCTATGTATAATAGTGAGGTAGTAGCCTTTGGAGCCACCCTTTGGCCTACCAAGAAATGATTTCACGAAACGGACAAATTCCTCTGCGACCTTAATAGAACAGAGAACATGGTTTGATTTTCCTGTGGGTGCCACCACAGCCAACATGTCTTATGTTTGTTCTTTAATCTATATCGACTTTCACTGTTTGCATTTTCGTCTGTCCCCTGATCGTGAGGACATTGAATAAATCCTCTAATATGGACACCAATGTTATGTTTGGCAAGATGCAATTGGCAGTATTGGATAGTATTAAAGAAGAAAATGAAGTTAAATTCTTGTTTATTGCTTACCATAACTTATGCCAAGAGTCCATGAACTTTGGGATTTTTTTTCTTCTACTACCTTTGAATATTTGTAATATTATACTATATCTTCTCCTGAGCTTTAACTTGATGTGCTACACAAGGGATATTGTTGATTAAACCGTAGAATCATGCAGGTTGATCAGACAAAATCTCATGGAAGAAGTCCGTGTGGGCACATAGTTGGAGTAAAGAATCGTCTTAAGGATGTACATAATGGCCTTACAACATCTAAAGAACTTCTCAAAGTATTAAGTCGCGTATGTCACCTTGAACAGCAGCACTCTACAGGATTATCACTTGTCTCGGCCTTAAATTATGAGCTTGATCGAGCATATATTCATGTCAAAAAATTGATTCAAGAGCAAAGAACAAACTGTAGTGATATTGATATTTTGCTGAATCGATTTGAAGAGGAAAAAGTAGTTTGGAAAATTAAAGAACAAGATAGGATTCGCAGTGCCATTACATCTATTGCTAGTGAGCTCCAAATAGAGAAGAGGCTAAGGCGACAAACTGAGAGACTGAACAAGAAACTCGGAAAAGAATTAGCAGAGACTAAGGAATCTCTTTCCAGGGCAATCAAAGAGCTTGAGAGCGAGAAGAGGACGAGAGCGATATTGGAACAGGTGTCTGATGAGTTGGCTAGAGGCATTGGAGAAGATAGGGCTCAAGTTGAGGAACTAAAACGACAGTCAGCAGAAGTTCGTGAGGAGATGGAAAAGGAGAGGGAAATGCTTCAACTAGCTGATGTACTGCGTGAGGAAAGAGTGCAAATGAAGCTTTCGGAAGCCAAGTATCAGTTCGAGGAGAAAAATGCACTCGTTGACAAGTTGAGGAGTGAACTTGAGGCTTATTTAAAATCAAAAACAGGTGAAGAAAAAGGGGATGGCTCCCCAAGCTATGAAAAAATAAAGGAGCTTGAAAAGTATCTGAGAGAAACATTGCCCAACTCGTATCAACACAAAGATAAAGAGGAGCAAGATATGGTGGCAGCAAATAAAGAAGAACTCGAATATGATGATGATTCAGTTGATAGTGATCTCCATTCTATTGAATTAAATGTGGACGATGTTAACAAGAGCTTCCAATGGGATGCTGTAAAAAACAACTCAAAGAGAAATTCATTCGATACAGGCAAAAGTAGAAAGTCTCTTTCCGAAAAGTTAAAAACTCCAACCATTCCCCCTGAAAGAAAATTTGCAAATGGCCTAGAGTGGGAATACACCAACAAACAAGAATATTCGGGTGCTTTTGACAGGGATAGATTGTTCGAGTTTTCTTCACAGACTTGGAAAACGAATATTGAAGAAGAGATGGAGAGATATAATATGATTGAAGACCTTAGGGACCATATTGTGTCTAGTTCCAGAAAAGGATCCTCCCGAGACTTGCAGAATTCACATTCAAAGGATCCTAATGGATCTGTACGTGAAGGATTGACAGTGTTGCAGGGAGATATTTGACACTGGCCAAAGAGTCTTTACTCATTTTGTGGTCCTTTGGCATAATGCAAGCTTTTCATATCTTAATAGATTCGAAAAATATCTGTTGGGTACTGAATTTGTAATCTGGAATCCAAGAATGTAAACAGAATTTTGTATTCGTCGTTGGCATAACATAATAAACTGTACAAAATCTGCTCTTTTCTCTCGTGTTAAGATGCTATGAAAGTATCTTGATCTATATAAAGGTTTACATATATGTTAGTTTCAATGATTCCATCTTTGGTCTGAATATTCTTTACGGCGGAAAAGTATGGAAACCCAAATCTGTTGATGTCTAAATTTGTCTCAAGAAGTCGTATTAGGGTCCGTTTGATTGCAAATGTGAAAAATGGGTGGAAATAAAATATTTTATAGAGAATTGATTTGTTTAGAAATTGTTTTACTGAGAATTGTAATTAATTGCGTTTGATTGGTATAATTTTCCATGGAAAATGTTGAAAGTTTGGTGTCCGTTTGGCTTCATTTTTTTATGGAAATTGTCCATTAAAGTGATAATGTTTTCTATCATTTGGTCTAAAATTTGTTCTGATTGCCCAAAAAAAAAAAAAAAAATTGGAAAAAAAATAACCATATTGAATACCATTCGTTTGGCTTTATTTTGTATGGAAATTGTCAATAAAAGTGAATTTTTTTTTTTTTGCCATTGTGTCTAAATTTTTTTTCAATTGCAAATAAAAAAAAAAAAACTTGGAAAATATTTACCCACCAAAACATCAAGAATTTATTTTCCTCAAAAGGGTGGAAAATTTGGAAAGTTGGAAAATAGAAAATGTGTGCTATCAAACAGGACCTTAGTGAAAGTGGCCACTAGAAAGGGGTGCTGATCGATCTCGCTCGGACATTAAATGTTGAAAAACTGAAATTGATTTTGGGATGTATTATTAACTCACATAAACAAAAGGGCTTTGACCGTGGAGTGGCTGGAAATTTTGTAGGGATCAAGTCTGAAACAATTCTCTCGCAATTATTTGTCTTGGTTTGTCTTAGACCACATGCTATCAAATCATTCATAGATCCACTTAATAATATCTATTAAGGGAAAATTGCACCATTGATCCTTTGACTTATGAGTAACAATTTGGTCTTCAAATCTTTCCTTATAGCAACATAAATTCATACCCAGACGTGAACACGAGCTAAATGTGTTTTAAATTTTTAAGTGGTCCTTACAGAAAAATACCCTGCTTTAAACTTTTGAGCACGGATTCAAGTTGGGAAGTAAAGTCTAACTTCATAAAGTTGGACATATGAAAACTGTGACGATTCAACATATATTGGACGATTTTTGTGGAAATATTGGAGATCAATGTGCTCTATTTAAAGATTGGGGACAACTTTTCATTAGAGTAATATGTTAGAGACGAATACTGCAATTTTGAGCTATGATAATAATTCATAAGCATATGGCTCTCATAATGCTACATGCCTCTATTCCATAAATTTGAAATTATTTTTCATATTTATTTGATAATTGATAGCCAAAGCATATGCATGCACCATTTCGAGATTTTTATTACACACAATACACATGCACGGTGGTCGGGTTGGGGCCATAAATAATTGACAATGCCCACCCGTTGTCTCGTATTAGACAAGGTTTATGACACTGTATTTGGACTTATTCAATTTTAAATATGATTTTGGAAAAACTATAATTTTATAATTCCAATAGAATGAAGCCAAATACATGTAATTTGGCTCCATTGTAGTTCATCTTGTTAGTGTTTGTTCCAAGACTAGATTCATTGTCAAGAACCACCCAAATTTAGGGGGTGTGATAGTGGGCCGAGCCAGGCCAGGTAGAGCCATAAATGTCCATCATGGGCATGTCACGTTGTGTCGTTGGGCTGGACTAACTAGGCTAGGGGTGTCGAGCTAAAGTCACATTTTACTTCAATCATATTATCTATGCATTTCATTCATTGAACATTATAGTGGTGGGATGAGTTACCATCTCGACTAGTGTTGGGTGATGGCCCATCTGCCCGGCACGGCACGAACTTGGCTGTGCCAGACTCGGTGGAAGCCCACATAAAGCTAGCTAAGCTTAGTCCAAGTCCCGTCTTTCTGGTTATTGTTAAAGATATATAAATTTCAAGTTTTACCGTCACTTATTTATGAAAATTTAGTCTCGAATATTTGATAAAATAAATTTTGACCAATGTAAAGAACGACGTGTTAAAGATAAGATACAGGTACATAAATCATTTCCATTTCTAACTGCTCAAAGTTAATGGTTAGAGTTGGTCACTTGAGTCCAAGAAAGGATCATATATCAAATCAAACCATGCAAATGCTATGTACTCGAATGACTTGAATATTTTTGGCCAAGTTAGGCTAGCAACTTGGTATAAAAACATTCTTTAAAGCAGCAATCAAATTGAATGATCTTTCTGTCATTGTTTATTTTTTGCTTCTTTCTGTCATTGATTTTCTTAAATAAGTTCTTCTTTTTGAAAGAATCCAACCAATCAAATCCAGTTGAAACGATGGTTTACCATGTTTTTAAGTTGTTGCCTCTAATTGGATTGGTTTTTGAGTACATTTAATCGGCTTTGTTTTTAGCTTCGCATCAGATCGGTTTTTGGTCCAATTTACCGTTGACTTATTTTCAAAGGCTCGTTCGTATACATTTAGATTCAGAATATCGACTGGTTTGAGCATTTAGGAAACAAACAATCAAGATTTTGTTTTCCAAACAAAATTGAGCAACATTCTAACTGAAAATACTCTATATGTTTACTTGTGTAATCCTACGCAAAAATAAAGGCAAATAGTGATGTTTCACCACAATTATTAAGTTATTATTAGGGGAGCAAGTGTTTGCATTTCCTCATATCAGTGTACTGCACGAATATTGCACGTGCAACTTAAAACATATACGTGAAATTTCGAGTCTATACAACTAATTATAATCTTCATAAATGGCAGATTTTTTTCCAAATATGCAGGCCGTTAACCAATGAAGACACCGAAGACAAAAAACGCTCCAGCGACAAGAGGTGCCCGCAACAGCATAGTTAACGTTAAAGGCGCTGATTCATTTTTATCCATGTGTTTTTTTTTCCTGAAATAAATTCTTCTTTTTAATATAAGCCAACCAATTAAATCTCATTGAAATGAAGGTTCACCTGTTTCTCTAATTGGATTCGTTTTTGGCCTGTAATCAAATTGTTTTGGTCTGGTTAACAGTTGATTTAGATAGAAAAACTTGTTCATATACAATTATGATATAGGATGACATCAATAATTATCCGTGTACGCGGATGACAATCTTACAAACCGCGTACACGGGTGACTGTAACCGCGTAGGTGAGGACACCTTGATATGATTAGATCAATAATTATCTATGATGGACATTGAAGTAAGGGTTACTTGATATTCACCCCTGTAAAGTACCATTAATTAATTCAGATTAAGTGCCAAATTGATGAAAGTTGTGGAATTTGTGTGAGAGGTCAGAGATTCGAGTCACACCTCACGTATTATATTAAAAGTCTTTGATTAAGTGTCCAATGGCTTAATTGATTCTAATAATAAATTATCATTTTTTAATCATTTTCGGAATTATTTAATGGATCAACTAACCAGTAAAATATGACAGTTTTTAACTGTCCAGTATTAACAACCCATTAATCACTAGCCATAAAATTCCAAATAAATATTGGATCGTGGTGGAGGCAGTTATGTGATTTTTCCGCCTATATAAACACACATCTGGGCATTAGAAACATACGACGAAAAACGAAATTGTATTTTCATGTTCAAAAAAAATATTATACTCTATTTCACATATTTTCTGGAGTACACATGAGTTTTTACACATTTCTGGAGTACACTTGACAGTTCTGAAAACCTTTTGTGATTGCTACACAATTGGTTTATTTAAGCGTTGTATCCTGGAGGTGATTGTTCACAGAGGTCACAGCAGTTATTGACGGACAATTTCGCTTTAGGACATCGTGCCGTCAAGAGATTCGATCAATCGATAAGTTTTTATTTATACACTTTACTGTATTGCAACTAGTAAAATTTCTAACACGAGTATGATGCAAGCAAATAGTAATAAGTTTTTTCAACCAATACTACTGTATCTTGCACTCGTGATCACTCCGTTATACATATCTTTAATATTATTGATCTATTGGACAACCATTCTACAATAACATTATTATATAAATCTTCACTTTATTATTGAGTATACTATTGTCTTTAATTTTTTGAGATATCTGAACAACCAATGTCTTTACCACCCATATGGTTATTTGACTTGTAAAACCATTCACTTCTCCAGAAAACACTTTTCAGTTTTCTGTACATAAGGTGTCATTAGTATTAATGTCAATTTATATAATTATATATATTATGCTGGCCGGATACATTGTTGAATTATCTAATTACAATGTCTCACTACAAAAAAATATCAATTCCGCGACAAAAAATATTATCGCATAGATAGAGATTGTCGCAAAAATATTTTAATGACAACAAAATATTTGTTGTGAGCATTGTCATGCTACATGAGTCACATAATGTATTCTACGACAATTTTCTTTAATTCATCGTATAAACAAACTCACAATATTATTTGTTTGATGTAGTTAGTATGAAAGAGCAACAAGATGTTTGCTGCAAAAATGTCGTTGCAATACATTTATGTCACGAAAAATTAAAAGGCGACGATTAAATTTGTCGCAACATCATTCCAAAAAAAGGTTGTGTGACAAAAAATGTTTGTTGTCAATACCATTTTAAAGGTATAACTTTTGTTACCTATTATATTTTACAACAAAACATTCTTGTAGTGATATCAATTTTATAACAAGTCATGTTTGTCGCATAATTTGTTTTACAATGAGTATGATTCGTTGCATATACATTTTAAGATATTAAATGTTTGTATTATAATTGTAACAAGTTGTGTTTATAGTTAAATTTATTTCGCAATTCAGATAATTTATCACTTCATCATTTGTGTAACAGTGTATAATTGTTTCGTAATTTATTTTCTGATCATTTATATATATATCGCGTATTCTATTTTACAACATATTAAAAAAGTGCTTCAATGTACAATTAATCAAATATAAAGAATTCCAAAATATAAAAAAAAATCCATATCATTGTCTGATGCTTTAGTGTCGCAATAATCCTCAATTTTTAATCAACTTCCAGTAGATGCATCAATGTACTGAAATGTACATAGAAAAGAAAATTGTAAATAGTCATTAAAGAAAAGACATTACGTAATAAAAAATAAACAAACGCATAAAATCTAAAATATGACCGTTATCCATCACATCAAAACATCAATTTTGAATTTTTATCTCTTGTGTGGGGCCCAATAACGACTATATTTATCATTCTTATTCTACAATAAGGTGGCTCAAACAGGGACTTACTCTCACAAAAATAAAACCCATAGCAAATTCAAAAATATTATAGAGATTCAATGACGGGGTATCTGTTAAGATTTGATTTTCTATCTTAAAATGTTAACATTATTAAAAGGAGTAGTCCAAACTCTTATAGATTGATCTATGTTTTTTATCTTTATTCGATGTGAGATTTTATTCCTTAACATGTCCTCGCAAGATGGTGGCTCGTTTGAGCAGACCAATTTTGAAATCCGTGTGCTCAATTTTTTTGAGTCTTAATCAAATCGAATTACTCGTTGGAGCTTGACGAGCTCTAATACCATCTTAAGTGAAATCCGCGTGCTCAATTTTTTGAGTTTTAATAGGATCGAATTGCTACGGGCTCTGATACCATGTTAAGATTTGATGTTCAATCTTAAAGGTCAACCTAATTAAAAGGAGTAACCAAAACTCTTATAAATTGGTTTATGTTTTTCATCTTTATTCAATTTGCGTTTTATCCCTTAACATGCCTTCGTAAGATAATGACTCGTTTGAGCAGACCAATCTTAAAATTCGCGTGCTCAAATTTTTTGAGTTTTAGAGATTCCATCTAGAAATGAGCGAAAAAAAATCGAAAAATCGATTAAATCGACCGAACCAAATAGAGTCGGGTTGGTTTGGGTTGGTTTGAACCAAAATATCGGTTTGGTTCGGTTAATTTTAACCATTATAAAGTCGGGTTGGATTGGTTGCAGTTTTAGCAACAAACCCGTCAATTAATCGATCCAACCTACAAATACATTTTTTTTCATTTTAAAATTTATCTTCTTAAACTTTATAAAAATAAAAATAAAAACACAAATATAATTATTTCTCAAATAATTTATTTATCGTCTACGTTTTTTCTACCAAAATTCCAAATTTCGAAAGAAAAGAAAGCAAAAAGAAGTGTTTATTATAAATTCAAAATTTAGATTGTATATATAATTATATATATATATATAGAAAGGCAAATTTTTTAAACTCAAAATAGATATGTAATCTTTTTTAAATCACACCAATGTCCAAATCGATTAACAAAACCAAACCGACCCAAACCAATTTGGTTTGGTTTCAATGATTGGATTTGGTCGGTTTGGGTTGAATTTTATCCAAACTGACTAAGTCTGTTTCGATTATGGGTTGGACTCAAAACCAAATCAACCCAAACCATGCTCAGACCTAGTTCCATCTTAAAATGTCAATTTTATTAAAATGACTAACTCAAATTCTTATAAATTGGTCTATATTTTTCATCTTTATTCGATATGAGATTTTATCCCTTAACAGTATCAAAAATCACTAATATTAGGAAAAAAACTACCGGATTAGATGCGCAAATTCCAACATCAAAATTAATGACGAGAAGTGTAACAACAAATCTTAGAAAGCTTTCGAGATACCAAGTTGGCCAAAATTCAATTGTTGCTCGATATCTTAAGAAATTTGGAGAGACCACCATTTCATGAATATTATAACCTTTCAAAACATAAAACAAAACAACGATAATGACTTAACAAAACTCGAATTGTGCAGTCTCACTTTTGCAAAAAGAAAAGCTACAAACATACTGAAAGTGGAAGTATCTTTTTCTAATCAAACAAACTGAAGCCCATACCGTCATCGCTCTTCTCCATGGGCTCCTCCTGAAAAATAATTATTCAAACGAGCATTGTTAATTTACTAATCTAAAATTAATGTTAAAAGTACTAAAATCGAAAATATAATGTAATAGAATACAAGTATGACATCTTGAACAATCGAATAAATACAGAAATGAATTAAATCCATTATCTTCTTCTCGTCAGCGGCCAGGGCAGCAGCAGCAGTAGTAGCAGGGGCATCAACTGCTACTGCAGCAACGCCGCCATAAGGAAACTATCTGTATAAGAGAAACTTGATTCTTCGTTCTTCGCGAATCTAGTACCAGCTAATGATTGTTCTCACCTTGTGTAGTTGATGCATTGGCGACTATTGTTGCCTAATTTTCTATTAATATTAGGACTGGACATGATGAAAATTAAATTTAGCAATATATAATGAGTGCTTTAGTCTATATATAATTTGTTTGAGAAACTAACATATTTTTGTTTATTTTTTGCTCTATATAAATATATTTATTTATTCCTTTATTATCATATGTTTGACCAGGTTCAACGTAATTTGACCTTTCGAGTCTTGACCCTTTAAATTTTTCGAGTGTATGTGAAGTTCAATTTTGAAGACAGAGTGAAATTCTAACCCATTCTCATCTCGCATTGCATACCTATACGGTGAAATTTCATCTTATCGATTTCGAGTCTGATCCTTTATCTATGAAGGCATCGATGACAACAGAGGCACCCGTGACAACGATAGGCTTACACGACACTATAGGTAATACAAATGCGATTCCATTTTGTCCTTTTTTTTGGTAAAAATTTCAATGTTTTTTCCTTAAACACTACCTGTTTACTTGGTTAACCATACACACTGGCATCGAGGAGATGGAATTATTTTGATTTTTCCACCCAGCATGATGTAAAGCATCACATGAATGTGATGGTGGACTTATCTCGAAAGGGGTTCTTTGATACAATGCCAAAGTGAATAGTTAAAGCGAAAAGATAAAAGGGGTTGACGTTTGATGCAAGCCATTATAATTGAAAAATATCTACTCCTACTATAGGTTGCACTCGTGATTGCACCATTTTACATATATTTGATATTATTGATGAATGTGACAGTTTACCAACCTTAGCACTTCTTTGAACACCCTCTCCTAGCTGTTTTTCCTAAACCACTGAATAGTTATTTTGTAAAAAAAAAAAAAAAAAAAGAAGCTATTAATGATATTTCATCATAAATATTAAATTATTCTGAGATGGATTCCTCGGGTTTGAACCTGGGTTTATAGAAATCGATTGCGCCTCTCAATGAGCTATATCTTTTGGAAAAAAGGGGTTACTTCTTCCTACATCACACGTAGTTCACGTGTATTTCACGAGTATTACACATACAACTATGCCGCAACAAAAAAAACATATACGACGAATTTCATCCTATCAATGTAGTCTATACAACCAATAATCATCTTCTTCATAAATGGTAGTGTTTTTTCCAAAGGGGTTTGTCCTTTACCAATGAAGATACCAACGACAAAAGAGGCACCAATGACAAAAGAGGTGCCCACGACGGCATAGTTAACGATTTCGAAAAAGGGATAAAAATCCTCTTATTTAATAGATCCTGGCAAATTAAATCTCATTGAAATGAAGGTTTACCCGTGTTCTTCAATCGGAACAGTTTTCGGCCTCTAATCAGATTGGTTGTGGCCTTTAATTGAATTGGGTTTTGGTCGGATTCACAGTTGATTTAGATTGAAAGACTCGTTAATATAAATTTAAATTAAGAGCATCAACTGCTGGTTTGAACATTTGCTACACATGGATTGCACGTATACTGCACATTATTGCTTGTGTGCATGAAATTAGATTCAGAAACTTGTGAATGGTGTCACTTTGAGTTTGAACATCATAACCTGAAAAGTGGGAACATATTTGATTTCGTCCTTGTTGTAAATTTTAAGTTTTTCTCTAAAATGTGGGGGCACCAGAATCAAGTTTTGGGTAATTGCTAAGCCCAACATACATGTGTATGAATAAATAAATTTAGGTTTGTTTCAAGTAACATGGGCTCCATATGAATGTTTACCATTTAAAAAATAACTTTTGAATCTTAAAAGTTCCTTCTGACTTTTCAAAAATCATGCCAAACAAGCCCTATAAGAATTACGAAAAGAAGAGGAAGTTGCGATATTGAAATCTGGACTAAATTCAAACTCTAAGGAAGGAATACAAGCATAGAGTGTATTAATAAGAGAGAACTTGATATTGAATCTCCATGAGAAAAGGTCTCCTTATGTAGAAGAAGATAATAATTACCAATCGCCTAATAATTTCTATGTACAGTGGTCGGTCTTGCCACTTGTCACCTCGATAGTTTTTGATTGGGGGATTAGAATGACAATGATGACATAATGATTAGTTGGATCGTTGGTTCCTCACCTACTCTACCTTATCTTCCTTCCAATTGGCGATTATGGACAGTTGATGATAAATCATGTGCTTGTGAATGAATGCCGTTTAATTGAAGTATCGTTATTAAGCATTCAATTAGTTGAACTCGTCGAATAAGTTCGGTTGAAGTAAATGGTCGAACTCATTTATTTAGGTCATCTAAAATATGGTGGTCGAACTCATACATGACTAGTGAGACACCATAGTGGATCAAGCTCGAGTGGGACTTTAATCCGACGTGCCAACTTTCACTTTTTTAGTCTTCACAATTTACTCAAACGGCAGTCGAGCAGTTTTTTTTCTCACGCACTATAATGTCTGAAAACGCAAGCCCCTCTCCAGTTCCACCCCAAGACCCGGCCCCAAACCCGATTCCGGTTGACCCCAATAATGATACAGGCGACGTAATTATGCCCGACCCGTTGCTAGAATCCGGCTCTTTCATTGACGCCGACCAAAACGAGGCTGAACCGGAGACGCCACCAAACCACCAGCAACAACCAATTGCCGAGGAGGAGCAAGGATCGGGCTCCGGCATTGCTGCGGAGCCGATTTCGGTGGCCCCCCCTGCTGATGGCTCGGCTGGGACGACTAGGCCGTCCATAAAGAGAAACCTAGAGGAGATGGCAAAAAGGCCGAGCTGGTTGCCTGATGCCTGGACGATAGATTTGAGGGTCCGTTCCTCTGGAGCCACAGCTGGAACCATCGATCGGGTATCTCTCGCTCTCTAACTCCAAAATATACACTCATGCACAGATATTATTAGAATTGATCAATTATGTGTTTCTGTTTTTAATCAATTGGTGTATGTGCTCCATGATAGTACATTTGACTTCTTGTGTGCGTTTTTTTAGGGTTTTTGTGTGTGTGTTTTCTCTCTGAGTGCCCTGTGAGTGTTCTCTTTGCCTCTGTAATTTCTAGAATATGTTTTTGTGTGTTCTTCGATAAGTAAAACTTGGGAATTCTGAGTGCCAGCAGAGGTGGGTGTCACGGCCAGATTCCTGCTTCTGCCTCACCGGAACGGTAACTCAATCAATGTTTCAATCCCAGCTAAAATGAGCTGAAATACTCTAACAAACAAAAGATAAAATAGAATGGGTAAGGGGATAAATGAGAAAATCAATAAGAAAGGGAAGAGAAAGCTGTTGAAATGCTCCAACAATTTTACTGAATTTCAGGTTGCAAAAACTCGTTCTTCTATGCCATACAGTCAGCATATATCCGTTTCTTTTCTACAGTGTGAAGAATAGAGAAGAAACGTGTTTCCTCAATAAAAGCATAAAATGTTTTTTTAACTAAACAATTTATTTAAATCCAAAACGGTGTCATTTGGTTGCAAGTACATCGGCTTCGCTTCCCAATTCGAATTTCCATTACTTCCGTTGGTTGTTTTCTTCCAGTCTGATCTGATTCTCTTTCTCCCCCATTGATTCTCCACATGACAACTCTTCCCCTCACCTTGATCTTGTCCCCAAGATCGACAAAGAGGAAATTGGGATTTAATCCAATCATTGTCCTCCCAAGTAGCGCAATCTGGAGGGAGGCCTGTCCATTGAACCAGCCCTGAACTGCAGAATGCGACCTTCGTGGAACTACCCTTTACTGCAAAATGGAGAGTAGTTCGTGTACTGGTTGAGACACTTGAGCTTCTGTAGGTAATTGTAACACAAGCATAGCATTATCTCCCAACTTCTTCTTCAAAAGGGATACATGAAAAACTGGGTGGATCTTGGAGCCAACTGGTAAAGTTGGATGATAAGCCATTGCCCCCACCTTCTTAGTAATATGATATGGGCCATAGTACCTGGCGCCCAACTTGTGATTAAGCCTGTGTTCGATTGAATGCTGTTTGTAAGGATGAAGCTTAAGGAGGACCCAATCACCCTCTGTAAAAGACCTTTCAGTCCTATCTTCATCTAAATAGAGTTTCATCCTTCCACTTGTCTGTGAGAGGTTTTCCTTTAACTGTTGGTTTAATTTGTATCTCCGCATCTCTCCCACTAGCCTCTCAATTTCTGTTTTTTGAATAAAAGGGCACCTATAAGGTCTGAATCTGAATGGTTGTGTTCCTTCTTTCAATGGGATATGATGACCATGTGATTTAGGAGGAGGTAATCCTATGGGTTCTTCAAACACCCTGGGAATTGCGTGGATAATCTCCAATATCTTGTCAGGCATCTCTCCACTTTTCTCCTCTTTGATGCTGTACAACTGTCCCACTATCCCTAAGGTTCTTTACCAAACATTCTCTCCACCTCCTCTATTCCCATCATCTTTACAGGCTCTTTAGAAATTTCGCTCCTCAATTCCACCACTTCATCATCGCTTCTAAACTGGATGCACCCTTGTACAAAAATCAAAGGTAATCGGACTAAATTGACTCACCCAATCTACCCCTAATACCATGTCACTTCCAGCCAACTTAAGAGTTCTGAGTTTGAACTGAAATTCCCAGGTTTGAATCTCCCAAACCACTGGTTGACATAAGGCTTTACTCTCTAATTTATCACTGTTGGCTACTCTTACTGTCACTTTGCTAGTTTAATCAGTGATATATTTCAGTTCTTTGGCTAACTTTTCCTCAACAAAACTATGGGTACTCCCACTATCGATGAGTACGGAGACTTTCCTCCCTTTGATCACTCCGGGAACTCTAATGGTTTGAAGTGTTTCCACCTCCTAACCAATGCATTAATGGATACCTCCATGATTTCCTCACCTCTTGATTCTCCTTTAGACTCGTAGCCTTTATCTTCATTTGATCCCAGCTGTTTAATTTTGCTAAATGTCTCAACCACTTCTTTCCCAATAGTTTCTGAAAACCTCCTGCAAAGCTCCTTAGAAAACAAGCTCCTGTCTGCTCCAGGGTGACTGGCAATGAACCCATCAAACCATATATCTACTTTCTTCTTCAAATACATCTTTACAACTCCCAATCTAAGTTCATTAGGTATTTGAAGGAGTTGAAAATATTTCATAGCTTCCCTTAGCCATTCCCAGGGTCCTTCTCCCCCAAAGTGTGGGAAATCAATTTTAAGCGGCCTATTATTTCCCTTAAAATTCCGTCTAGCATAAGTGCTACTTTCAGTGTTACTGGCTCCTGGGGTAGATATTACACTCTCAGATCTCACCTTAACCACAGTTTCTTCCACTCCTTTGTTTTTCTGCCCCATTTTGATAACAGAAGACAACTGGGCCAACATGGCCACTAGATTTTCATATTTATGATTCATATCTAATACCAAAGGTTCAAATTTTTCCTGTGTCTATCTCCACAATTACCTGGAGAGTTTGATCTGTAGAAGCCAACTTGTTCTCCAACGTTCTGGTAACAGCTTTGAAGGAATTACCAAGATCAGCCATATCCAGATCCAATTTCTTCAAATGTTCATCAATTGCTTTCGACCTTGTATCCATCTCTAACAATTACCCAGTAATATATGTCTGCCGCTCTGATACCAATTTGTCACGGCCAGATTCCTGCTTCTGCTTCGCCGAAACCGTAACTCGATCAATGTTTCAATCCCAGCTGAAATCAGTCGAAGTACTCTTAACAAACAAAAGATAAAATAGAATGGATAAGGGGATAAATGAGAAAATCAATAAGAAAGGGACGAGAAAGCTGTTGAAATGCTCCAACAATTTTACTAAATTTCAGATTGCAAATACTCGTTCTCCACTGCCATACAGTCAGCATACATCCGTTACTTCTCTACAGTGTGAAGAAACGTGTTTCCCCAATAAAAGCATAAAACATTTTTTTAACTAAATCTAACAATTTATTTAAACCCAAAACGGTGTCGTTCAGTTGTAAGTACATCGGCGTCGCTTCTTAATTCGAATTTCCATTACTTCTGTTGGTTGTCTTCTTCCAGTCTGATCTGATTCTCTTTCTCCCCCATTGATTCTCCACATGACAGTGAGCTTTTTTTTTTTTTAAATAAAATTATTATCTCCTTTTTAATTATCCTGTGAATTTGATATCATCCGAACATTACTAGTTTTATTAAATTCTAATGCTATTTATTAAGTGAGGGATATTATTGAACTTCAACATTTAAAAATGACTTGCGTGAATTAAGTATCAATGGAGAGGTTTATGTGTATATGTTAGCATTGATTTTTCTCTTTAGTTTACTTGATAGATGTTTTTGCAATGTTCATTTATGGCATGATGTACAACGTTCCTTCAAAAATTATGAGTTCTTTTTAAATTTTGAATAGCTGCCAATCTAATTCAAGTGCAAAAAATGGTATGTAAATTCAACAAGTTTATGTGAAAACAATTAGGTTTCACGGTCTAGATGGAATGTTTTGGTGGAAAAGACTATTCAATTTTTTTGATCACCAAAAATGTAGATACACCTTTGTTCTAGACTTGCTCAAATATATTAATGGGCCATTTTGTTCCTTGATGACTATCTTGAACTAAAATAAGCACAAGAGTGTTGTTCGTCATTGAGTGGCATGATATATAGATTTGTGATTTTGGGCATAAGAGGGGACACAGAATGCATCTAGCAACTCCGTAGCTAAATTTGTAAATACATTGAGAGCTTGTTTGGTACAACTTAAAATCAAATTAAAATTGAAAATATAGCCGTTATTGGGCCCCACTCATCTAATAAAAGTCAACCATAACGGCTAGTTTTTCAATTTTAATCCAATTTTAATCTTTACCGAACAAGCCCTAAATTTATGTGTTTACGTGAATATTTGCATACTTTGGCATTTGCGTCACTGTCATTTTATGTGTTATGCCCACATGTTTGTATTTACTTTGGTTGCTGAAATTTGCTTATCCTGGAAAGATCCGTAGGTTACCTATATATTGTGTCTCCATAAGGCAACTTCCTATAAAAGATAAACTTGAGTTTGCTTTATCCATGAATCCATGCAAGCTAATGATTGTTCTCACCACGTGTAGTTGATTCATAGATGACTATTGTTTCCTATTTTCAATTAATATTATACGTGAACTTAATGAAAATTAAATGTAGCACCATGATAATGAGTATTTTTGTGTATATATTAATTAATTTGAAAAATTATCTTATTTTTGTCAAATTTCTATGCGCTATGAATATATTTATTTATTCATTTAATATAAACATTTGATCCCGGTTTAACCTGGTTCAACCTTTTAACCCTTGGTTCTTTAACTTTTTCGGGTCAATATCTTTTTTGGTTTTGAAAACATAGAAAACCCTAACCCTATTTTCACCTTGCGCCGCAAATTTATATGTTGAAACTTCAAACTATCAACTCCGAGTTTGATACTTTGCGAATGACGACACCAGTGATGATAGATGCACCGGCAACAACAAAGTCATTGGCGACAATAGAGGCGCCAACAACAACAGAGTCATCGGCGAGATTAAAGGCGCTGGCAACAACAGAGTCATTAGTGTCAACAGAGGTCTGCAATGGTAGGCAACAATAAGCCCTTGTTTGCCCCCCATT